GGAGGGGAGTGACTGTGGTGCTGTCGCGAAAGAAACAGTGGGAAGCACCAGAGTCAAGTGTGAAGTTGTGCAAGGCCTGTGCGGACGCAGTACCAGGGGGAACAGACTCACAAGCACCTAGTGCCACAGGCGCTATACCTGGGGCTATACCGGGGTCAGGCGGTACACACAAGTAGCAGTCACCCTCAGCACTAACAGTCAATGCATACATGGCAGCAAGAATAGTCTCATAGTCAAGACCAAAGATAGGTACATTACGCCTAAGCAGGTCCGCCCAGTTGGGGAACTCAGGAGCATCAGGAAACTTGACGCGCCAGGCGTCGCTAAGCCGAGCGAAGCAGCGGTACTCAGTGTGAAACCCTGTGCACTCGCGACAAGCGCGGGGACCTTTGCGAATGATATAGGGGCAGCGACCAGGACCCCCAGACGCCCCACGCCCGGCATACCAGTCAAGAAGCTGCTGGGAAGTGGGGGTCTGGCGCTGACGCTGCTGCTGCTGCTGCAGCTGCTGTCCCTGGCCACCACCGGCGTCACCCAAGCCCCCACCACCGCCGCCACCACCACTCCCCCCTCCGCCACCACCGCCGCTGTCACCGCCACTGCTCCCGGCACCACCACCGCCCCCACCACTACCTCCACCCCCACGACCACCGCCACCACCCCCACCGCCCCCGCCGCCTCCACCACTGCCTCCTCCACCGCCACGTCCGCCACCCCTGCCACCCTTGCCTCCCTTGAAGCCGCTGCGCTTCCCACTCGGAGCGGAAGTAGCTGCGACCTTCTCAGCACCAAGGAGGTCGACAGCAGCAGCTGCGGAGGCATAGGAGGGGGTAAGAGGGGAAGGGGAGCACCCCTCAAAGAGGGGAGTGCGGGGAGTACCACGAGCAGCACCTACAGCTACAATGTTCTTCTCGGCTGCTAGGAGGTGCTTCTCGAGGTCGTGGACAGTGAGAGAATGGGGGTCAAGGGCGAGGAAGTGGTCCCTGACTGAGCGAAGATTGTCAGGGAGGCGGGTGATGAGGAAGTAGAGAGTAAAGTACATCGGGGGGTGGTTCTCTTCGAGGAACTCGTCTTGAAGGGCGGCACGAAGGCGAGTGTCACTAGCGCGTAGGTGAGAGATGAGGTCCTCAGCGGTGGTAAACGAGGACAGGTCGGGGAATAGGTAGGGTAGCATAAGTCGACCTAGGGCTGCAGTGGCCGGGGAAGAGTAGCGGGCAACTACAGCGTCGTACAGTGCCTTGGCAGTCTTGTCCTGGCTAAAATGCGCGCGCTCTGTGATCGGCAGATGGTTGCGAATAGCTAGGCGCGCAGCAGCATCGCGGGTCTGCCACTGGGATCGGTCTAGAGCAGGCTCAGTGGCAGCAGGAGCAACGGCATTGCCAGACACGTAATCAAACAGGGAAACACCGTCCTTGGCATCAGTCAGGAGGAACAGTTGCAGGTTGTCGAGCCAGGTGGCGAACTCTACTGGACGGCCGTCAGGATCGAACGCGAGCGCATTAAGCGTCGCCATAGTAGCAGTGCAGGCAAGGCAGCGGAGATGGTGCGCAGGGCAAGCAAACGCGCGGTTGGCAGGCAGGCGCTCAAGGCAGGCAGGCGCTCAAGGCAGGCATGTGCTCAAGGCAGGCAGGCACTCAAGGCAGGCATGCGCTCTTGGCAGGCAGGCGGTCAAGGTAGGCAGGCGCTCTTGGCAGGCAGGCGCTCAAGGCAGGCAGGCGCTCAAGGCAGACAGGCGCTTTTGGCAGGCAGGCGCTCATGGCAGGCAGGCGCTCTAGGCAGGCGCTCAAGGCAGGCGCTCTAGGCAGGCGCTCAAGGCAGGCGCTCAAGGCAGGCTAAGATAGGCAGGTGCGCGGCTCACGGGCGTCACACGGGCAGGGCACACGCAGCTGTGGGCTGTGCGCGGCTGCTGGCTGCGCGCGGCTGCGGGCTGCGCGCGGCTGCTGGTTGCGCGTGGCGACGGGCTGCGCGCGGCTGCGGGCTGCGTGCGGCGGCGGGCTGCGCGGGCGGGGCCGAAGCGGGCTGCATGCAGGCGGCTTACGCGACGCGCGGGCCGGCGGCAGGCTGCGCGGGCGGCTGACGTGGCACGCGGGGCCGAAAACGGGCCTAAACGGGCTGCGCTCGGGCTGCTTAAGCGGCGCGCGTGGAAAAACAAAAAGGGCCGCGCGCGTGCAGCCGAGGCGCGCGCGGGCAGCAGGCAAGGCAGGCAGGCAGGTGAGGTAACGTGGTAACGGGTGGGCCCTTATCTTAGGTCCTAAAGACCTCTAGGCTCTAGATACCATCTTAGAATCTAGGCATGAAAAAAGTGTGATTAAGTCAATGGGGGTACAAGAAGAATGTCAAGAGAAATGTTGTACCCCCTAGTGCTAACCCCCATACAGCCTAGATAACCTAAACATGCATATATAATTTGACAGAACCGTCGAGGCTCATGGGCATAACGTCGTTGTTGTTGTTGCTGATGTTTGACTGCGCAGGTGCCGCTTGCTGGTGTTGTTCGTAGAAGGACATGAAGGAGAAGAACTTCTCCATCATGCTTGGGTCGAAGCCTGCTGGTTGATTCGCAGGAGTTTCAGTAGACCCTGCTGCTGGTCTTGTTGCCGTACCCTCCTCTGTTTGTAGGCCAGAGGCAGGTGGTGGAGTAGGAGTGGTGCCGGGAGAGCCATTGGAAGAACTTCTCTCCTTCTGAGTAGCCATGCCTTCGGATGTTGTGGGTGTCTTGAAAATAGTTGATTTTGCCCTGATAGCTCTCATACCATGTTGGGCTGAGAAAAGCCCTTAGGATCTTTTGGAGGACTAAACTCTTGGTAGGATTAGTATAATAGCGGAAGCGTTTAATGAAGTACTTGAACCACCTTGCGCTGGTATGTGAGGGCAAAGCAGATTGATTAAAGCAAAGAGATACCGTATGGCCCCGGATATAAGCGCAGGCCTATTATAAGCGCATGCGCTTGTATCTGGAGCAATGCGCTTATGGCCGATCCTCATTTATAAGCGCACCCCCTGTAAAACCTTGATTTATTATAAGCGCACGTATAATTCTAAAATTTAAACCAGATCAAAACGGTAGCGATTTCAAATTTTGCAGTGAGTATACAACTATTTTCGCTTCGATTGACTTTCGAGGACCTCACATACTGCGGGTCCAGTCAGTATGAGCTGGCATTTCTGATAGTGACGTGTAAATTTTCCCCTGTGCGCCGGCAGAAAATCGCTCACGCGCGAATCTGAATTGCGACTCGCTACCACTTCGATTCGATTGAAATCACAAGAAGGAGATGTACAGTTTGGTGCCAATGAATTATAAATTTGCATTTGTTATTATATAAGCGCATGCGCTTATAAATCTGACTCAATTATAAGCGCACCCCCCCAAAAAACACTGTTTTATTATAAGCGCAGGTGCGCTTATATCCGGGGTATTACGGTACAAGGTTTTATAAGGGTACAAGGAATACGAAGAGATACAGTTAATAACCGTTTTACTACTGCTGTTGCGGTTCGATACAGTGACGACTTGGGCAACTACTCAATAACGAGTCAGTTGTTTGTCCTTGCTGTCGCGCTGTACTTGTCAGGTCAAAGGTCGCTGACCTTTGACTTTCGCGTAACCTCTAGCAGTTACTCAACCTCCGAGGGTTGACTCGCCGACGCTTCGCTGTGTTTCGCTTCGTTTATGACTTAGTGTTTCGACACGACAGATGCGTTTAAATTACTTGTTTCCAACAACTTCAAGGGGTGTTCTCCACAAGGTTATTCCTGCATGCACTTAGGGGGTGTGTCAGAACATATATTGCATATGTTTTGTATAAGTGCATGTAGTTCTAGCTGTATTGTAGTTATTAACTTTGTAGGTGGTGCACCTCTTCATTTGTTTGCTACGGTATGTGTACCCTCGTGCTATAGTGAACACCACCATTCTCGACACTCCTACTTGCAACAACTTTCTCGACTCCCCTTCGCCTAGGCTACTAAGCCTAGGCCCTCACTTAATCCTAGCCCCCACTTGTGCTACTATCTCAACACCGACACATTTTAACATCACACCTCAGTTACATAACACGTGCAAAAACAACACGAACAACTGTGATTGAATGCTAAAATGCATCGGTGCTACAGCAGAGGTGGTTCCGGTCTGCTAAGGCGAGCAACGCTGCCCCAACAACGATCCCCACCTCAAATGCAGACCCGACACACTTTAACATCACACATCAGTTGCATACACGAGGCACTTTAGCACACGCCTCGAGTCGAGACAGACAGGTGCAAACAGACAAACACACATATCTCACATAGGCGCACATGCGCACGTACACACACGCATAAGCACATGCACAACACACACTAACACACATGCAAACAAGCACAGATAGATACAGAGACCGTAATAAAGACGCAACAGTCATGAATAAGATTCAGAAATGCAGAAATGATTGCTGGCCTATCCCACCTTCCCCTCCCTACATCCCTCTCTCCCTCCTTCCCTCATATCCATCCCACTCCCTCCCTCATCTCCCTTCTCAGCTCATGCGCCCTGCACAAAGAAAAATCAGGGAAATCAACACACACACGCCCTGCACAAAGCAAAATCAGGGAAGTCAACACACACGGAAGTCAACACACACACGCCCTGCACAAAGCAAAATCAGGGAAGTAAACACACACACGCCCTGCACAAAGCAAAATCAGGGAAGTCAACACACACACGCCCTGCACAAAGCAAAATCAGAGAAGTCAACACACACACGCCCTGCACAAAGCAAAATCAGAGAAGTCAACACACACGCTCCCTGCACAAAGCAAAATCAGAGAAGTTAGCACACACGCGCCCTGCACAAATAAAAAACAGAGACGTCAACATGCGCCCTGCACAAGCAAAAACAGAGAAGTCAACACTCACACGCGCCCTCTCACGCTCTCTCACACGCTCTCTCACGCGCTCTCTCACACGCCTCTCACACGAACTCTCACGCGCTCTCTGACACTCTCTGACGTGCTCTCTCATGCGCACACTCAAGCGCTCTCACTCGCTCACTCACGCGCTCTCTCATGCGCTCTCTCCCGCGCGCTTTTATGCACACTCTCACGCGCTCTCTCACGCGCGCTCTCACGCACGCTCTCACGCGCTCCCTCACGTGCACTCTCACACGCTCTCTCCTGCGCTCTCTGACGCACTCTCGCACACGCTCTCTCACGTGCTCTCTCAAGCGCACTCTCACGCGCTCCCTCACGCGCACTCTCTCGCGCATTCTCGCTCTCACGCGCTCTCTCGCAAGCTCTCTTGCGCGCTCTCTCACGTGCTCTCTCGCTCGCACTCACGCGCTCTCTCACGCGCACTCTCACGCACACTCACGCGCTCTCTCACATGCTCTCTCACGCATTCTCTCATGCGCTCTCTCACGGGCTCTCACGCATTCCGTCGCACTCCCTCTCGCGCACTCTCTTGCGCATTCTCTCTCTCACGCGCTCTCTCTCGCACACTCTCACGCTCTCTCACGCGCTCTTTGATGCGCTCTCTCACGCGCTCCCTCTCGCGCTCTCTCATGCGCTCTCTCACGCGCGCTTTTACACGCACTCTCACGCGCTCTCTCACGCGCGCTATCACGCGCTCTCTCACGCGCGCTCTCACGCGCTCCCTCACGTGCACTCTCACGCGCACTCACGTGCACTCTCACACGCCCTCTCCTGCGCTCTCTGACGCACTCTCGCACACGCTCTCTCACGCTCTCTCACGTGCTCTCTCAAGCGCACTCTCACGCGCTCCCTCACGCGCACTCTCTCGCACATTCTCGCTCTCACGCGCTCTCTCGCACGCTCTCTTGCGCGCTCTCTCACGTGCTCTCTCTCTCGCACTCTCACTCGCCCTCTCACGCGCTCTCTCACGCGCACTCTCACGCGCTCTCTCACATGCTCTCTCACGCAATCTCTCATGCACTCTCTCACGGGCTCTCACGCATTCCGTCGCACTCCCTCTCGCGCACTCTCTTGCGCATTCTCTCTCTCACGCGCTCTCTCATGCACACTCTCTCGCACACTCTCACGCTCTCTCACGCGCTCTTTGATGCGCTCTCTCACGCGCTCCCTCTCGCGCTCTCTCATGCGCTCTCTCACGCGCGCTTTTACACGCACTCTCACGCGCTCTCTCACGCGCTCTCTCACGCGCTCCCTCACGTGCACTCTCACGCGCACTCACGTGCACTCTCACACGCCCTCTCCTGCGCTCTCTGACGCACTCTCGCACACGCTCTCTCACGCTCTCTCACGTGCTCTCTCAAGCGCACTCTCACGCGCTCCCTCACGCACACTCTCTCGCACATTCTCGCTCTCACGCGCTCTCTCGCACGCTCTCTTGCGCGCTCTCTCACGTGCTCTCTCTCTCGCACTCTCACTCGCCCTCTCACGCGCTCTCTCACGCGCACTCTCACGCGCTCTCTCACATGCTCTCTCGCGCAATCTCTCATGCGCTCTCTCACGGGCTCTCACGCATTCCGTCGCACTCCCTCTCGCGCACTCTCTTGCGCATTCTCTCTCTCACGTGCTCTCTCATGCACATTCTCTCGCACACTCTCACGCTCTCTCACGCGCTCCTTCACGCACTCTCTCACGCACTCTCTCACGCACTCTCTCACGCGCTCTCTGACACGCGCTCTCTCACGTGCTCTCTCACGCTCACGCACTCTCTCACGCACTCTCTCACGCGCTCTCTCACGGGCTCTCACGCACTCCCTCATGCTCTCTCTCGCGCAATCTCTTGCGCATTCCCTCTGTCACGCGCTCTTTCTCGCGCACTCCCACACGCTCTCTCACGCACACTCCCACGCGCTCTCTCACGCGCTCTCTCACGCGCTCTCTCACGCGCTCTCTCACGCGCACTCTCATGCGCTCCCTCACGTGCTCTCTCACGCACTCTCTCATGCACTCTCTCACGCGCTCTCTCACTCGCATTCTCACGCGCACTCTCACGCGCACTCTCACACGCACTCTCACACGCACTCTCACGCGCTCTCACACGCTCCCTCACGCGCTCTATCACGCACTCTCTCACGCGCTCTCGCACGCGCTCTCGCACGTGCTCTCTCACGCGCTCCCGTGCACACGCTCCCCCTCGCGCTCCTCTTCTTTACGAGGAGACGAATTGACTAACAAAATTTACGAGGCGAGCAGAAAAGTAAAATATAAGGGGAAATTTCAGAAGTGCAATGCAAGAGGAGACGAATTGACTAACAAAATTTACGAGGCGAGCAGAAAAGTAAAATATAAGGGGAAATTTCAGAAGGGCGCGGGAGGATTGAAGGACCGAGAACGCACCTGATAATCAGAATGCCTCAGAAAACAACCCTCGCTGGCGCACCAACCCGCGCTCGCGCACCAAACAGCGCTCGCGCACCCACCCGAGCTCGCGCACCGACCCGCCCTCGCGCACCAACTTGCGCTTGCTCTCGTGCACCTGTCGCCAGAGGCGACGGCGGGGAGGAGGGAGAGGCGACGGCGGGGAGGAGGGAGAGGCGACGGCGGGGAGGAGGGAGAGGCGACGGCGGGGAGGAGGGAGAGGCGACGGCGGGGAGGAGGGAGAGGCGACGGCGGGGAGGAGGGAGAGGCGACGGCGGGGAGGAGGGAGAGGCGACGGCGGGGAGGAGAGAGAGGCGACGGCAGGGAGGACGGAGAGGCGACGGCGGGGAGGAGGGAGAGGCGACGGCGGGGAGGAGGGAGAGGCGACGGCGGGATAGGAGGGAGTGTTGGAGGCGGAATTGGAGAAGAGGCGGCGGCGGGGTAAGAGGGAGTGGCGGCGGGACAAGAGGGAGTGGCGGCGGGATAAGCGGGAGTGGCGACGGCGGGGTGGGAGATAGTGGCGATGGCAGGGAGCGAGGGAGAGGCGACAACGGGATGGGAGTGAGAGGCGACGACGGGGTGAGAGGTGGCGGCGGGATGGGAGGGAATGGCGACGGCGGGGTAGGAGGGAGGGGCGACTGCGGGATAAGAGGGAGAGGCGACAGGTGGTGGTAAAACGCGATAGTTGCGGGATGGGCGACGGTGGGTTGGTAGAAAATGGGAGAGAGAGCAGGTACAAGAGGAATTCGAGTAGGCAGTTCGAATTGGAAGGGAAACGGAATACGCACAGCAGCAAAGCGACTGGTAGAGGGAGCAGGGTAGAGTAGGTAGGTGCTCAAATTCAAGAAACCAAGTCAGCGGAGAATTCGAGTTGACAGCGGAAGAAAGGGAGGGTCTGTGGTGCTGGCAAGAAAATGGGTGGCCGGGAATGTGTGGCGCTGGCAAAATTCTCTGCCAGGACAAAACGAGGTAAGAACGCTTTTAAAAATAAGGGCGTATCCATGTTCGGGTCATGAGCACTGTTCTGGCTACTGTTTGGGTCATGCGGAATTTGCGCATGACCCGAAGTGGGCTGCCGAGCCGCGCGCGGCCCCAGCTTTGGGTCAATGTGCAGGTGTTGGGCGACTGACGTGCACGACCCACCCCCAACCAATCACCTGGCTGCACGATTCTGTATTTACTGCCATTTTTTGGCGGTCGTCAGTCGAGTGTCACAAGTGGGCAATGTCCCACGTCTTACACCTCAGCACCAAACCACTCGGCAAATTGACCCCAGTGAAAATGAGTTTGTCTAAAATTTCCCGCGTCGCGCTCCCAACATTTGGGGATTTACGCCTGGAATTTTTACGATTGTGTTTTTTCGGTGGGTTTCGCGTGGATCTTACGAACTGTTCTGGCATCCCTCCATTGGATGCGACTGTTGTAGGGAGAGTGATTTTGGCGCGAAAACCCTCGCGGCTCTTTGGGGGTCGCAGGAGTTCGGGTGACCCAAAGTGGCGTTTTATGTTGTTTGGGTCATCCGAAATTGCGGATGCCAGGAACAGTGCCCATGACCCGAACATGGATACGCCCTAAGAGTACAGTGGTATGACGATTGGACGAATTGCAAGCTAAATTAACAGGCTAATTTGAACATAACCTAGGCACATGAGAATTAAAAAATGTTACGAGTGCAATTGAGTGAACGAACGAGAATTGCACTATCGAAGCAAGAGTACAATGAGCGAAGGCATGAGCGAAGAATATATAGCGAAACTACAGTGGTAACGGTGTGAAGAGGAGAACGAGAATGAATGAACTATGAATGAAGTGAGTACATATGGGAAACCCTAATTGGGTTGTACCCCCTATGGGATACCCCACTATAGCCTACACAACAGCATAAGCTATATAATGTTCTGACACACCCCCATAGGCAAAGTGGGGGAGAACAAGGGGTCACAAGACCAGTCATGCAAAGCACAGCAAGCTCAGGGTGGATCACAAAGTCACCACACAATCCGAGCACAACGACAAGGCCACAAGGCCAGTTCACATGCAGGAGGACACATATATATATAGAGCTAGACAAGCAAGAGCAGGTATATATATGTGACAGTACAAGCAAGGTCAAGAGGAGAGCAAGTGAGGCAAGACAGGTACAAGACCCAACTGAGTGCAGAAGCGCTGATGGTCACAAGGCGCAAGTGCCTTGGTGAACACATCAGCAGTGTTGGCCTCAGAGGCCACGTACGCAAGTCGCAACTGACCACGCTACTGCAGCTCACGAGCAAGAAAGTAACGGAGAGCAATGTGCTTCGTTCTGTGCTCCAAGCGCTGCTCTCGACACAAGGCCAGCATGGCCTTGTTGTCTACGTACAGCACTGGAGGAGAACGAGGCTGCTCTCCAAGGTCAGTCAGCAGGTAGGTGAGCCAGCGAAGCTCCTGTGCAGCCATGGCCCCGGCGTAGATCTCAGCCTCACAACTGGAGCCGAGAACAGAGGACGAGCGAGTAGCCCGCCACGAGATAGAGCCGGAACCAAGACTGAAGGTGTAACCCTGCGACGACCGCTGCGTAGCCTGGTCGTCAGCCCAAGAAGCGTCCGCGTGCCCAGTGAGGTTCACTGGACTCCGCCCTCCAAGCACTAGCCCCATGCCCGACGTACTGCACAAGTAGCGCAACACCCTCTTCGCTGCAGCCATGTGCTCTGGTCGGTGTCTCCCAGGAGCAACATAGCGTGCAAGAATGCTAAGAGGGTATGCAAGGTCAGGTCGTGTGCAGGTCATCAGGTACATGAGGCAGCCAACAAGCTCTGGGTACGGGCCACTCGACTCTACGGACTCATCCGAAGGCAGAGCTGAGAGCGAGTGGCGAGTAGACAGAGGAGTGGCCTGAGGCGAGGAGTACGTGAAGCCGAAGCGCTGAAGGACCTGCTGCACCATGTGTGACTGAGTCAAGGTAATGGTGCGGCGTGCTCTGTCCCGAGTGATCTGCAAGCCAAGGTAGCTGCGCAGTTCACCCAGGTCTGTGCACGTGTGTCTCTTTTGCAGCTCGGACTTCACGTAGGCTAGTCCAGCAGTGTCAGCTGTGGCAAAGACCAAGTCGTCGACGTACACGAGGATGTAGAACGGCGGCAAAGAAGTGTCGGTGCGCAGAAACAACGACGGGTCAGCAGTAGAGGGAGCAAACCCAAGAGCCGCAAGCGTAGTCCTCAGTGTGTCGTGCCACTCACGCGGTGCCTGGCGGAGACCGTAGACTGGCCGTCGGAGGCTTTACTGGGTGCCAGGAGGGAAAGTCCCAGTGAAGCCAGGTGGACGGCGCAGCCAGATCTCCTCGTGCAGGCTATCCTGCAAGAAAGCAGTGCTGAAGTCAAGAGAGTGGAGCTCGTAGTCGCGCTGAGCGGCTATGTGCAGCAGCACCCGAAGAGTGGTCATCTTCGGGGTGGGAGAGAAGGTCTGAAAGTAGTCAACTCCCTGCCGCTGACTGAAGCCACGAGCGACGTACCGCGCCTTGAAGACAGGTGGAGAGCCCGGCGGCCGCTTCACCCTGAAGATCCACATGCCACTGACGATGTTCGCCCCAGGAGGGGGCACCGCGTCAACGTAGGTGCCTGTGGACTTCCAGGACGCCATCTCTGCATCCATAGCTGCCTGCCACTGAGAGGAGTAGGGACCCTCTACGGCCTCCGCGTAAGAGCGCGGAGTCGGGATGTCTAGTGCATCCGGGTCTCCCTCAGGGGCAAGTAGTACGGACGCGAGATGAGGTGAAGCAGCAGCCAGACACTGGAACTCCTCCTGCCTGTCCTCAAGGACGTCCGTGCAAAGAGCACACTCACCCCCGACGGACGGAGGACAGACAGACGCAGACTCAGCAACAAGACCGGCAGCGTAGTCTAGACGACAGCGAGCAGCAAAGTCGACGAGCTCAGCAACAAGCGCAGACGCAGCAGTGGACTCAAAAGAGGGGTCAGTGACGACAGTAGCAAGGAGACGCGTGACAGTAGGACTAGCAGCACGAAGAGAGTCGGACTCTGGGTCGGTAAGTGCAGGAAGGGAGGACTCAGGAGGAGAAGGCAAAGGGGCACGCAGAGGAGCAGTGGACGGACGCAAAGACATCCGGTGCGTGCCAGGGACAGGAGGAGGACGCTGACGCGAACCGCGACCACTAGCGCGAGCAGCACGAACAGGCGACGCAGGACGAGACGCAGGCTCACGACGCTCAGCAAGACCTCCAGTGGGACCAGTGTAAGGAGAGGGAGCAGGAAGTGGGGAGGCGGGCTCTAACTGGGACTGTGACTGAACAGGCGGTGGACACGCTGCAGGAGGAGAAAGACCAAGAACCTGCTGTAGGAGTGGAACGAAGTACGGCCGAGGCCGCGCGGCGACTCCAGACACAGCAGGGACAGCACACTCAGCAGCAGCACCAGCGCCAACAGCACCTCCAGCGGCAGGACCTCCAGCAGCACCAGCAGCACCCGCAGCAGGACCACCGCCAGGAAGGACAGCAGCAGTCTCAGCACCAACGCCCGCAGCAGCTCCAGCTCCAGGCGGACCCGAGGGCCCAGCAGCTCCGGGACCAGCGGCACAAGTACCCTCAGCAGCCGAAGGAGCTCCAGCTCCAGCAGTACGTCTCCAGCGGCGAGCAAACCACTCGCGCAGCTCCTGTGGAGAGAGGGGCTCCCGCCGAGGCGAAGCACCCGAAGAACCGCCAGGTCCCGCACCGCCAGACGCCACAAGGGGAGGTCCAGTGGCCGCAGGCTCCGCAGCTCCAGGCTCAGCAGCTCCAGACGCAGCACCCCCTGGCTCAGCACCCCCAGACTCCGCACCCCCAGGCTCAGCACCCCCAGTCGCAGTACCCCCAGGCTCAGTACCCCCAGACTCAGCACCCCCAGGCTCAGCACCCCCAGGCTCAGCACCCACGCGCGTAGCACCCCCAGAGTCAGCACCCCCAGGCTCAGCACCCGCAGCAGGACCAGAGTCACCAGCAACCTCGACCGGCTCGACTGCGTCTACCTGGGACACACCTGAAGGGGCAGGACCCTGAGGGGGAAGGGGGTCTACCGGGGGGGGACCTGGCACAAGGAAGTGCGGTGGCGGGGGGAGGGAAGGAGTGCGGTAGGGGAAGAGGCGGTAGAAGGGGACTGACTCGTCGAACGTGACGTCCTGGGAGGACAGAACACGACGAGAGGAGGGGTGGTAGAACTGCCACCCTGGGGCGTCAGGGGGGAAGCCGAGGAAGACACAGGGAGCAGCACGAGGGGACAGCTTGTCCGCAGACAAGTCGCGGACAAACGCCCGAGATCCCCAGACACGGAACGCAGACGCATCGCCGACCTTCCCCGTCCACAGCAGAGCTGGGGAGGTCTCCGGCCGGGAGACCCTGGGGTGAAGGTTGACCTGATGCGCCGCGTACCGAACCGCAAACGGCCACAGAAAATGGGGGGCAGCCGCATGCATCATGGACGTACGAGCGACGTCCATGACCATGCCAATGCGGCGCTCAGCAATCCCATTTTGCTGTGGAGAGTCCGGAAGCGTAAAGGTCTGGCGGATGCCTCGTGCACGACAGTAGGCTCGCAGAAGGCCAGAGGAGAACTCTCCACCTCGGTCAGAGTGCAGACGCAGAACAGGAAAGTCCGAGCCGAAGCTCCTCCTGAGCTGGAGACGAGCTGCGCGGATCCAGTCGATCAACACCTCAGTGACATCACCCTTGCTGCGCAAGGGGAAGACTGTGGTGTAACGCGAGTAGTCGTCAACCACCAGCAGGAAGTAGCGCTCGTGACCCTGCCCACGGACGCGGGCCGGGCCCCACACGTCCATGTGATGCGTCTGCAGAGGAGCCTCTGTCGGGGGAAACTGGGAGGAGTGAGGGGCAGCCCGGAGCCGCCCCTCGACACAGGGGACACAGGAAGGTCCGGGTCCCGAAGGAAGGGGAGGGAGAGACCGGGGAAGACCAGAGACAAGGACACGGGAAGCCATGCCCCGAAGACGAGGCAAGGAGGGGTGGCCAAGACGGTGGTGCCACAGGAGAGTCTCCTGAGACAGGCGGCGACACGAGCAGGGGGCAGACTCAGGACCAGACCTGGACGCAGCAGCAAACACCTGACCCGACGCAGCTACCTGGCCAGACGCAGGGACAGGAGGAGACTCAGTGGTCAGGGTGTAGAGACTCGACCCCGGCCGACGCGAAAACGTGGCCAGGTGTCGG